AAGTGTAGCAACCATATTCACATGAAGTATATGTGATGTGAATTCGAGTACATTTAGAGTTGAGATTATGTATACATTCTGCCCACAGGAATTCCATGCCAGAAATAAACCAAAGAATCCTGTGCTTTACCACACAGGCCAGGTCTATCTCCTGTCACAGAGCTCCAGTTAAGATGGTTTAACCCCTCTCAATGTGAGCATCTCACTGTGATCCACTTTAACATAAACCATCTCAGCATAACCCCCATTTTAGCATAACCCCCATTTCAGTACTTGACCCTTCTTAGTATGACCCATCTCAGAACATGCAACCTTTAGCTCAACAGTTACCTCAACATACAGATCCATTCAAAATAGCCCTTCACTACACTGTCTGTATTGAATTAATCATAATCAGTGGATCAACATCAGGATTAGATATACTATGGTGAGTTAACCATAGTCAGTGGGACAACAGCAAGATTAGATATACTATGGTGAGTTAACCATAGTCAGTGGGACAACAGCAAGATTAGATATACTATGGTGAGTTAACCATAGTCAGTCGGACAACAGCAAGATTAGGTATACTATGGTGAGTTAATCATAGTGGGACAACAGCAGGATTAGGTATACTATGGTGAGTTAATCATAATCAGTGGGACAACAGCAGGATTAGATATACGATGGTGAGTTAATCATAGTCAGTGGGACTACAGCAAGATTAGGTATACTATGGTGAGTTAACCATAGTCAGTGGAACAACAGCAGGATTAGGTATACTATGGTGAGTTAATCATAACCAGATGTCCACTATTGTCAAGACAGGTCCACTTGTTCTAAGCTAGCTTGACGACATGGGACAAACCATGATAACCTGACCTTTCTTGACTGGACATATGACAGTATATCTATATCAGAGATTACTTATCAAATTAAGAAGACCCCAAGACAATATCTCAATCTTAACTAGCGGGACATCACTGCTATGGCAGACTGATAAAAACTAACCTTTGGATGTTTAGAAATTTGACAGGCTTTACTAACAATCAAAAGGTCATTTTTTCATGGTGATACTGATAGTATAAGGACTGTGTTCTTCTTCTTCATTTTTTTTATTCAGTTTTGATTTTTATTTGTTTCAAGTTATGTGCTCTAATGTTAAAGCCTGCAATATGCAGACTGCCTGAACATGCCCAAACAGGTGGTGTCAACTGGTTGATTACGACCTATTATCCAAGCAAAAAGATTTCTGTACAGCCTGTTCTTACCACATGACTTGATACACTAATGAATTCAAGACTTGCCTAGGCAGCTGGGGATAACATAATCCACTTTACCCCACAAAAAAAAAAAAAAAAAAAAAAAAAAAAAAAAAAAAAAAAAAAAAACTGGGTGCATCAATGTCATTGAATCTATCATTATTGCTTTTACACTTTTCTTGCGTGTCAACATTTTGTTATAAAGGCATCTATGTTAATTTGCATAATGGTTAACTTATATTATATTCTACTGTGCAAGATTCAGATGTTAACACCAGTATATGATAATAACTTTAGAAATTAAATTGGAAGTGTTTTTTTTTTCAACTGTAAAACATTAAAACTACTTAAACGTGAGGGGAAAACTACCACAGCCAGTGATCAATACCATGCCTAGGGAGCCCTGGGGATCCTTTGAAAATGTCACACATTAGCAATATCAGAGAGACAGAAAACCTTTAGAGACATGCAAAACCATCATCGTATTTGGCATAGCAATTACTTACTAATGAATATCTGTGGATAATGATGCCACCGCTGAAAGTCAACAAATGTATGAATGTACAAAGTACAAGTCACTTTTGCTGATACGGTACTAGTAGAATTACCTGTAAATCAAGTAGCAGAGCTCCACACTTGGACCGCACGTCTTCAAATGGACAGTATATGGAGAAGCGCAGTAGATCAGGCAACAGCTCTTTGACTAGAGGCTTTCTGTCTAAGGGCTGAATACGGGCATCATGGTGATTGTTGTGGTAGACTGCTTCCTGGGGGCTGCCGTAGCCATCTACCCAGGCATCAAGAGCTCGACTTATGTTTTCCAGCGCATGAGAACGGCTGTTTTGATCTCTGCTGCACAGAGCCAGGAAAAAACGTAAACTCTTTTCATCTCTTAAAGTCCTATCCTCCGGCATATCAGCCATCAGCCATCTAAGCCCGTCCTCGATGATTGACTGCATAAATTAAGACGAAGTGTCAGAAATGCCAGTCCCAAAGAGTGCCACTGCGAGCACGGGCACTTGCTCCGCGACGTCGCCACCAAGTTGACCCTGAACAGCTGATCAGCGTGGTGAAATCTCACCTCTGCCCCTACACTGAGGATGCTGTTCTATTACTGGCGAAATAACGTACATTAAAATTGACTGAAATCCATTGCAATGACATTCATATTCGCATATCAATGAATAAATGTTCTCATCTACGATATTCACAGCAACAATTTGATAAAAAGACTGGCCTGTCGGTGAAACGTTCCTCAGCTGCAACCTTATCATGGCCGACTGCATCCGGGTGCTTTCTGACCTCTGAGACACACCTCCTCATTTCAACCAATTAAATACCAGTGACCCACTTTGCGATCAGCTGAGCATATCTGCCTTTTAAACGCATTGTAAAGCGCCAGACGAGCCGGAAAACCTCTACCCATCCTATAAATCGAATACTCCGGCGGTAAAACATTTTCTCGCATTTTGCATCTTTTGAAAATTCGTTAAAAGCTTAATCTCACGTAACAATGTTTTCTGGATTTACGAATTTTTTCCAGGGCGGACCCATATTTTATCTGTATGTGGATGTTAGTTTCTTGCTTTTTGACTTACCCTGGATATTTCAAAGACGATCTTGTGAGACAAATAAACTGATCTGGCACTGGGCAGAGTAGAAATCTTTTGGCCAAATATATTTTTTTTAGAAAAGTAAAATAAAAAATTGATTTTTTATCTACTCCTAAATATAATATACATGTATTAACCCTAAACGTTCATCTGACAGTTCCTCATTTTCAGTAAAACTTTGTGTAATTTGCATTTCATTTTCCGTATCTAGCGGTATAAACTCTGGATGCTGTGTCTAAATGGAGAGAATTTCATCAACTGTGTTATATTATAAGAATAAAGCAAACTTTCTTCAATCAACAGTTAATAAATTCTGTCAATATTAGCAGTTGATTGAAGAAAAATTACTTAATTCCTTTTTCTAAACGCTCTTTGAAAACCAAATATATATTTTTCGTGGTTAATGAAATTCGTGATCAAACCTTGCCATTATAAACTTCTGCACATCTTCTTTTGCTTCTTCTTCTTCTTCCTTGGCTTTCGGCTTTGTCTCTTCTCAGGGGTCACCGCAGCGGATAGCACGTTATAAACATCTTTTCATGATCCAACTAATGCCGTTCAACTGAGACAGCATGTAGGCACGGCCTTTTACATAATGCCGTACGTAAGTGGTCATTAATCAATGCAACTTAAATGTGTTTTAAAAAACTTTTTGCATTCAACAATGTATTAAATTGCACCTTATTTTCTAAATAGATATATTCTAGCAGCCACCGCTTCCCCGCCCATAGTACTGCCAGCGTATTCAGCTGAATGGCCTCATTCACCGATGATGATGCTCTAGATAGATATCGAAATATTGGTAGGAAACAGCTATTTCAATACCAACTGGACTGAAGAAAAATTACTGCTTTATTCAATGATATTTTGTATTCGAGGGTGACAAATTAAGGTCTGTTGAAGAAAGTGCGATAAAAGCGTAATGCCTCACACACACTGACTTAACTGACAAAACAACCAGATGTGTGGATTGTGTTAGTTGTGACTTTTGACTCTTCTATCACAATAGCTTGAAAATCTGTGAGAGAGGGGGAACACAACGTTTAGCAAATCTGCAAATTTAGGGTAAAAAAAATACTAAAACAGGAATTGATTTAGGAAAGATAGAAACTAATCAACAGGCCAGTTCTACTTCATGAAAAGTTGTTAAAGTGATTCTTTATAAATTTGTGGACTGGGTAGCCAGGGCCGTAGCCTGAGCAAACTGCCAGGGGGGGCAGTAAGCGGACACGAGGGGGCGAAGCCAAAAAGGGGGGGGTGTGGAAAATTTTAAAAATCTGTATGTATAATACTGCATTCTGGTGCATTTTAACTGTTATTTATTGCTCAATCAGAAGTCAGAAATTGCGATTATTATTTTTTTTGCACCTCTAATCCCAGGGGGGGCAGTGCCCCCCCCCCTGCCCCCCTGGAGGCTAGGCCCTGGTAGCGTGTTAGTGACCAAAATCGATTTAGTTGTGCTTCGGCCAATATCCCTTTTTCTGGGGTCAGGTAAACAACATGTTGACCACGACCAAAATCAATAATTATGTATTGTCCTTTAGACATATCTTGCAATAACCAATGTCTCCCATTTATAGAAGTATTCAGTTTGTTGTTGCAGATGTCAAGAGTACAAATGAAGAGAAATGAATCAATTTTGATTTTCCACATCTAAGTCATTATGTTTTATGTCTTTAAATCACGCCTTTAGGTCCTGAACTCCGTGACTTTACATAGATCCGTGCAAATAGAGTGAACTTGTTTCTGGACCAAATGTCTTTCGTCAAAATCTTTTAAAGAGAAGTATTGCGCATTGATAAAAAAGATCATGACAGTTGTATCATATATATTTTAATAAAACGCATACTAAAAATAATTATGTCAGATATTAATCAAACATTATGTAATAAATGAATATCCAACATATTAAAATACAGCAGCACATACAAGATCAATACACGTTTTATGCGCCCGTGGAAATGCGGCCTGGACGGTTCCCATGGAAACTGGTGGATGGCTTCCTGTTCAGGAATCTGTCTTGCTAGCTCCTCCCCTCCCGTGTACAGGATAGGTGATGGAGTGTGAACGACCCTAGGCAGCCCCCCCCCCCCACCACACACACACACAAACAAACCAATCCCACCCCCTAGCCACGTGAGTCCCTAGGGTGCATCCCCCGTGTATGAACTGTATGCTTGTCATAGTGGTCTCTGCCTATACATACAAACTATACTCAAAGACCAAATTTTCTTTCCTAATCCACTTCAGGTTAGTGCAATTACTACTATCACGCTATGATTAATTCCATGTGGGCCAATTGCCTCCACTTCTAATGAAAAAATATAGAATTAACAAGTTAATCGGCTTTATAATTTAGAAGAGAAAATCGGATGTATTGGTAATATCGATAGTATGTCGGTAGAGCTCCTTTCCACCTGGACAATTAAAGATGCAAGAGCTGTCACTGCAGGTAGAGGGAGATTTTTGTATACGTTAGAGTTAATACAAGAACTTCCGCATATGAATTTGCTGCTAGCTAGGAGACAAAATTTAACTATGCATTTGGAATCAGTGTCATCCTGCCACGTTTTTGACAAAGTCGATGTCAAATGACCAGACCTACACACAATAGAAGTGCCCCCCTGAATCAGAGTAATCATTAACCCGAAGAGGCGGAATATAAGCAATGTCAGAATATCGATACAGTTGAATTGTTCAGCCAGAACCGTTTCTTTCGTAAAATTTGCTGTTAATAAAATGATACCAGGAGCATATCATTCCACAGTCATTTATCTCCCCCAAAGTATTGGTTCAGTAGGGGTGCCACTTCTATTGTCCAGTGTGTGTACAAAGCAGTAAAATGGCTGAAATGGCTGCTGTCAAAGTATTCTGTTCTGTAGCAATGCATATTATTCGATGATTCCGATTCTTTAAGATATACCTGGGCGTTTTCAACTGTGCGACCCAAAAGAGCTACTGAAATGCGTGTAATATTACTGTCAAGGTGAAGGTGTTAACAATAATTGGAGCGCCAGAGGTCATTCAACATATTTCATTCATCCACATTTTCCCGAATATTTTCTAAGTTCGTTTGTTACAAAGGTTATCTATTGTCATCTCTCGCCATCGTGATCCTCTGGGGGTGACCTTGATTTTCATTGATTTACAGCAGCTTAAATAACTCGAGCATGGCACGTGTAAGTTATATGATGCCCAATCAATTATTGCTTAGGTTTGATGCAAATCATTGAATTATTCCAATAATACTCAAATAATGATTTTGCAAGTCTTTTCTGACTTTTTTAAACATGGCACAAATATTTTCCCGTCTTATGAGGACAGTGCATTGCCATGGTTAAAAGAGCCTGCTCTTAAATTGCAAATATGAAAAATGCCAGAAAAATGGCCCCATAAATATGTAAAACCGATCCGATTTTTTTCTGACAGTCACTGGTCCGGACCATTGATGTTGACGTTTCTTATGTGTAACCTCTGGCAAATCATTCTTAAGCAGAAATTCGTCAACTTTGATCATTTTCCACCTTTCTGTGTCATTTTAGTGGGGATCTTTCAAACGAGCCAATCAAGAACACGTATCGGTGAATGTGTTTGGTAATGCAGCGTGTTTGTCGAGGCAGTGTAAGAGGTGAGACTGTGTTAGTTGAGACAATGTAAGAGGTGAGGCAGTGTGTTAGTTGAGACAATGTAAGAGGTAAGAAAGTGTGTTAGTTGAGACAATGTAAGAGGTGAGACAGTATGTTAGTTGAATCAATGTAAGAGGTGATACAGTGCACGTATTAGTTGAGGCAATGTAAGAGGTGATACAGTATGTTAATTGAGGCAACGTGTGAGATGAGACAATGTGTAAGATGATACATTGTGTTAGGTGCTACAGTTGGTTTTGGCAAATTTAAAACATTAAACTTCCTCTACGAAGGACGGGTTGTCTTCTCCAGCCTCGGTATTTCGAGGAGTTGGAGCCTTTTTCTTTCTCGGTTTTGAAGATGTTTCCCCGTCATTCGTTGCTTTGGAATTAACAACAGACCTCTCCTCGGCCTCCGTACCTTGTTCAGGTCGAGGTGACTTCTTTTTCCGTACCCTTTTTACTTGAGAATTTTCTGACATGTCCATCGCATTAAAATCCACAGAGTCAGTGACTCCATCAGATTGCACGCTCCGCGGCGATTTTGTTTTCTTTTTCCGCGTAGTGACGATGGCTACGTCTTGATTTTCAGTCAGTTCTGTTTTGTTTCTGGGGGATTTCTTTCTTGGTGTTCTGGACCGCAATTCCGCTGCAGACTCAGATTTCATTTTTTCCATTACCTGAGCGTTTGATACTTTCGTAGTATCGGAGTCAGTTTGCAAATTTCCTGCAGATCTGGACTTGCTGACTATTGTTTCTGAATTTGTTTCCTCTTTCTTTCCGGCAATCGCATCAGAACTGTTATTTTTAAGTGGGGATTTTGCTTTCTTCTCTCTTGGCGTTTCTATTGGCTTTTCAGATTTGGCACCGTCAGTATCTTCATCCATTTTCACACCCAACTTTGCAGGGTGCTCGTCTACGTCATTGATAATTTCTATCTCCTGGTCCCTGTGGACAACAATATCAGGGACTGAGTTATTGTCATGTGAGTTGTGTCTTCGAGCTGACACATGAACGTCACATTCCACCACGTGATTCGTGACGTCATCTTCGTCGTGTTCCTCCAGCTGCAAATTTTCTCGTGTCTGTTGTTTCGGGGAGTGCATTCCTTCATGAATTGGTGCTAAACTGGGGAGTTCTAAACTGCTTACTGAGCCGTAAAAGGCTTGACTTCTCTTGATGGCGGGTATGGAACCGTATGGTTCGTCTACCACGTCACCGTTTGCGGCGTTACTATGACGACCGTTAAGATCCATGGACGAACTAACCGCTTTCCCATTGTGAGATTTCCCATTCAACGGACTGGTATTTATTCCTTTGCGGCGTTGTAACCTCTCCATTTTAATGTCGTGCACTGTCACTTTTACCATATTTTTCTTGGCTTCTTTCTTTTTAACCTTTTCTTGTTCTTTGACAGTAATGACTTTTGGATGGCCATTTTTATATCGTAAAGGCTGCCCCGTTAGGGCAGCTTGCATAGCTACTTGCCTTTCCTTTTGCTCTTTGAGGTATTTCCTTCCCGGTCTCCATCGAATTCTTCGAACCCAAAAGCACACGCAGAATAACACTAGAATCAAGCCAGCGACTCCGGCGATGTAAGCCAGAATAAGAATCCCCTGGTCCGTCTGCGGGGCAGGGGTGGTAGGGTCGGCCATACCGCTGGCCAGGACTGATTATTGTAGCCGGTTTATTCTAAATAGTTGTGGCAAGATTAATGTAGACATGCTTTGTCCTTATTATTTGTATGTTGTCTCATGATTCTCGGGCTCTTGTTGCCATAGGTTCTGTTACTTTATTTCCAGGTTTTTCCAAGGTGAACTATATTTTCCATGGGACGTCAATGCAGGTGTCAGCAGATTACCTGCTTGGAATAGTTGGGGTCCGGACAACCAGCACGGTAATGTGAACACAGAGACCTTGTTTTCCTTCTCAGTGGTCCTTGGCGATTTCTAAAATGGGATAAAACATATCAGTAGAGTTACGAATACGGGTAAAAACAACACGTCTCCGATTGGAACAAGAATAGTTATGTGACTTTTAGCATAACTATGCTGTATCTTGTGGTATAAGTACATTTTGTATGTTGTGGTATATAATTAACTATGTGTGTACATGCAATGTATTGTATCATACTGTAGCTACGATGTTTTAATATATACCTTGTGATGCAACTTAAATCAATCTTATTGTGTAATGTATATGTAGGATGTGTCTAAATTGTGGTATTACCACGATATCTTTTGGCGCAAGTACACAAGTACTTGTGGTAATCGCCTTTCATACGGTGTGTCTTTTGGTACAACTGGGATGGGCCATATGCGGCGTGCTTAGCCTGAGGTACATGTGTACTATATAGGCCAACATGACTGTATGCGTATATAAGGCGGACTTTGGAGGGGGGGGGGGGTGCCAGGGGGTCCTGACCCCCTCTTCGATTTCTGAAAAATATCACAACAATGGCCCCCTCTTGATATCAGAATTTTGACTAGATGGATCATAGTTCTAAACCGTACCTAAAGGCAACGTTCGTCCTCTAAAATACCAATTTGTTTCGGGGCCGGCTGGTATAAGAATGATCATTGCGTCTTGTGTTATAACAATGCTGTGTCATATCACGGAGCTGGGAGGTGCCATATGTGATATAAATACTATGTGCCTTGAGCTTGTATCGTTAGGTGTAACTAGGATATATGCCATATGTGATATAAATACTATATGTGCCTTGAGCTTTAGCTACGATGTATCGTTAGGTGTAACTAGGATATATGCCATATGTGATATACATACTGTATGTGCCTTGAGCTTTAGCTACGGTGTATCGTTAGGTGTGACTGGGATGTGCCATATGTGATATACATACTATACTCAGTATATGCCTTGAGCTTTAGCTACGATGTATCGTTAGGTGTAACTGGGATGTGCCATATGTGATATACTTATACTATATGTTCCCTGAGCTTTAGCTACGATGTATCGTTAGGTGTAACACGGAATTTATGCACTAGTTCAAATATGCTGTCCCTCATATATGTCAGTTACACACCAACCAGGATACCGCAGGATTGATTAATCGAAATCTTAAGCAGGTCTGCAAGCGTCCATTTCTCTTGCCACGGCATATGTCTTCCTGCCTCCCCTGTATAGTCTTACCTGTATTTCCTCCTGAACATTGTCTTACCTGTATTGCCGCTCCGTTTCTGCTTTATCTGCTGTTCGTCACGCGCCTCGCCCCATGCTCACGACACGCGCTCAATTAACACAAACGCAATGTTTTCGGATGCATTGAGACCTCTCCGTCTTTACGCCATGGTCCAGCGTCGATATTTACCTGCATTGCAGTGGATCCTTGTCCGTATTGATAAATCAATGAAGGCAGTTTAAACTGGAAACAGCGGTATCGATATTTCTGTAGCACTGTATGATTGTACTTTGTTTGTTTATTAATATGGTTGATGACCAACTACTCTCTGTCACGCTTTGCTACAAGTGATTCCTTACTACAGCATTAATTTTATCACACCCCTCTTATATATATTAAAAGCCATGTATTAATACAAAAACATATTTCATCATGATGAAAATCAATATTGCTATTACTCGTGTGCACTGGTTACCTGAGGTGGTACGGCGGGGAGGTGGAGCAAGTAGCAAATAGAATATTGATTGTGGACGTCATTAATGGAAAGGCAGTGCTCCAATGATGTTTTGGACAATGAGCACGTGGCACATCCATCAAGGTGAAAAAGTTAACGATTTACATTAGCTATTCGATTTACATTTTGTGGGTTATATATTATTGATGAGAGTAGGCCTTTGTCTATACCTTCCCTGACAACTATGCTAAATTAAATAGTGTTAATTACCTAGAAAATATGGTGTTGTTATAAAGGAAGGTCCAAAAGGGCTGTTTTGTCCTTAACATTAATTCCTATTTTTTAAGTTAACCTGGTCGTTTAAGTTTCTCTATACGTG